AAAAAAAAAAAAAAAAAAAAGAAGTCAGGGGGATTATAGGAAATTCATTGGTGGGAACAATATTCCCTTATTAAAAATGACACGTGCAAAGACAACTATTTTAAATTGCACGTAAACTTTATAGATACCCTATATTAGAGCATGAAAAATAATGTGAAAAAGCTGACAGATTTAATTCTAGATCCTCCTTTCTGAGTCTCTGATGGTCTTGGCACTACAATAGGTGCATGGTGCTGAAAGATGCATGTTAGTCCCAACCCTTAAGGAGTTTGCAATCTAATGAGGAAAAGAAATTATAAAGTAAAAGTTTATGGGCCATAATAGATAATAAGTCAGTCCCCCAAGGAATGAAGGAGTTTTGGGAGAAGGATGAGAAGAAACTGGCTCTCCTTTTCTCCTTTTTCCAGAATACTGGAAATCCGTCAGATGGGATACCTTCCGTGCCTTCTCCTTCCCAATATTTCTTTCCAGTTTTACCATGGAGCCATAGAGTCATATCATGGTGCTATGGTTTGAATGTGTCCCCCAAAAGTTTATTATGTTGGAAACTTAATCCTCAATACAAGTGTCAGAGATGGGCCTTTAAGAGGTGATTAGCTCATGAGCATGAAACTTGGATTAGCAGAGCCCTCATGAATGGATTAATGGCATTATTTCAGGAATAGGTAAGTTATCTTGGGTGTGGACTCTGATAAAAAGATATGCTGGGTCTCATCTCTCCTTGTTTTGCATAGTCACTTGCCCTTCTGCATGAGATAATGCAGCAAGAAGGCTGTTGAAATGCTGGTGCCATGCTCTTGGACTTTTCAGCCTCCAGAGTTAAACAAACTTCTGTTCTTTACAAATTGCCCCAGTCTGTAGTATCGTTACACCAGCAGAAAAAGGAACTAAGAATGGAGCCTTAAAAGTTATCTAATCAGACTTCCTATCTGATGTTTAGGTCTTTGCTATAAAAATATGATCAGTGGGCCTGTATTGCTTACAACACACTAGATTACAAACAACAGAAAATCCTGTTGGTTTAATCAAGGAAGGGAGACCTGTATTTAGAAGTAATTTGATTCTGAGACTCAAAAGGTCATCAAAGATCAAATCTTTCTCTGTATATACTTTGTTCATATTTGCTTTATTTCAGTCTGGCTAGACCTTCTGTTTGGAAGATGGCTTCCAAGGTCCAGGGTCCTTTATTCTTTTGAACACATGCAAAAAGAAGGGATTACCTCTGAAGCTCTCTTAAAAAAAAAAA